AATCTTGTTAGTATTTGTAAAGACATTACCAAGTAATTTTCTCTTTACTATGAAATAAGTATTAATTATTGTTCTCATTTTACAGATGGGAAAATTAAGATACAGACAGGTGAAATGACTTAGGAAGTCAGGAGGAATATAGGGAACAAAGCTGGGATTTTATAGACAAAATGACCAGAGTTTCAATATAGTATAGCCACTTACTACTAGCTTTGAGCAAGTTCCTTCATCCAAGCCTTTCATCTGTAAAATGAGGATAATAACACCTACCTCTCAAATAGTTGATGTAAGGTATAAGCAAAGCACCTAGCAGAAAGCATAATACAGAGTTGCCCATTCAAGAAACATCAGCTCTCCCAGCAATCCACAATCTTATTTTCTTCAGCTGGTACAAGAGGTGTCTACTGAATCCACATGCTATTGTGAGGTAAGTGAGAACACAAGCGGGGCACCTTGCAAGTATGGGGCTCAATACATTTGTTCTCTCCCCCAGTACTCCCTCTCTTACCCTAGGTCCCACAGTTACTAAATGGCTGAGCCGCAGTCAAATCCAGATCTTGGTTCTACTATAGAACTGTTTCTGTACATATGCATTTTATTTATGATAGTACCTCATTTAACTGCAAAAACAAATTTAACCTAGCTGCTTGATCAGTTATTATTTTAATGTGTTCCCAGTAAAATCAAATTTATTTCTAGGGCAGCTTTACTTTTCAGTAATCAGAAAAAAAGTGATTAATATTTCAGACTTGAAAATATGTATTTTTGATATGAATTTCTACTGGCATTCCTTAAGGTATATTCTTAATATTTTATAAACTATTAAACTCAAAACAGTCAAAAATCTATTACTTAGGATATTACATATCTAAGCATTTAAGTGAGTCCATTTGATATACTAAGTTCAAAGATATTAGGTAGCCTTTTCATTTTTCCTATTTGCTCCCAAATAAAATAACAAAGTAGGGTAGTAAATGTAGTAAATAAATGCAGGTATTCATAAATGAAACAGATGTGTAGAAATTACGGACTAGATCTGCATTTATGAAGCAATGACCTTCAAAACTGGCAGGGAGCTGTTAACAATGTTCTTCACAGGGGAGCAATTATATTACAACCCTATGTATACTTTCATTTCTCATGATCTACAAATACATTTGCATATCAGAAAGAATAAAAGAATAGTCTGGTAACTGAGGCAATCTTTACTGAAAGGATATAAGGCGTTTTCCTTACCTTGATAATCACATCCTAAATGCTAGATCAGTAGAACTGGTGCAGTATGAAAGGCTAGAACAATACTTTGACAGAATTTCCTACAACTGAAATTTACCAAATGTGGCTATTATGGCTCTAACCTAGTGATACATTTCTGACTCTCTAATACCCTAAGTGTTCTCTGATTATCCCAAGAAGTACTGAAATCACTCTACAATACATACCTTATTTAAAGAAAAATATGGCATACAATATTTTAAGGAAAATGATTCCAAATTATCACCAAGTTTTTTTTAAATACTGTACTGCAATTCCTAGAATGTTAGGAATATCGCTTTAACCTAGCAAGTAGCTCACAGCTCCTTTCCATACTGATTTAAAAGACCCAGTGCCCAATGCTTGACAAATAAGCGCATGCACAAACACACAAATACACACACTACAGAAATGTAGAAGGGGTGAAAGTTACTAAGAAAAGCTCAATCTCTAAAAACTTAAAAAAAGCTATATCCACAAAATATTAATTTCACATAATATCCTGTCTTTTTTTTTTTTTTTTGACATTTCCTCTCATTGGGTAAAAACAAAAGGAATTCACAATAGTGGTGCCAAAGACTGACAATATTACATAAATTTCAGAATTCCTGTATTTTTAAAATTTTCATGCAAGAATCACAATGCACAATCATTAGCATGTCTAGACAGTGGACACTCACTACAGTATAATCATGTTACACCAAGCTTAATTTTTTATGTGGCCTGAATTTTTATAACACATTGACTTGTAATAATGTAAAAGAAGACCAGCAGGAAAAGAAACACAACCATAGTAAGATATAGCAAGCATAAACCCAGTAAGTCCTGTTAGACTTAAAAATACTGTTTTTCTTAACAGTAATAAAACTACCCACAACTGTAATACCAACCAACCAACCTCAAAGGTTCCACTAACTGGGAAAAAATAACTAGTTGTCTTATTGTGACACTGTAAAAGCCACAAGATTATCACTAGTGGAGTGGTGATGTCAATTTTGTTTCATTTGTACTCTATACCTTGGCAAAAGTTAATGACCTGCCCCAGGAATTTTATTTCACCATATACCCCAAAGTATTCTTAGGACTCACAAAGTCTAAATCTTACACTGCCCTTCATATGCTATTGTGTAAATGCTTTAAATTTTAAAACAAAAGGATAAAGACTTTAAAAGCTCTAGACAATGCATTCAAATGGTGAATATGTCAAGTCAATGTTTTCTCCTCCCCCACCCAAAAACAAACAAAAAAAACTGTACATGGCACATAAAGATACAATAGAAACAAAAAGTAGCATGCCACTCATTCTGTGAGAAAATACAGAACATCTATCAGATTCAACTACCAAAATCCTTTTCACGTGATGGCTAGCATCTTTATGACTGTGTTTAAGTGGCCTTAAAAACCGATGTTGTTCTCTTTCTCTGCCCTCCTGGATCTTTGACAGCAGTCAGCACTTATGCCCAGAGCTGGTTTGGAGAGTGGGAGAAAAGGGAAAGTGAGGAGAAGGCTGAACTGAGCACGGACTCAGCAGAGAGCAGCTGCTCTCACACACTACCCAGCGTCTTTCTCACACACCGCTATTTTCCGCTATTGAGCATTCTCAGCAAAAAATAAATGGGGGGTTGGGGGGCCAGGAGACAAAGAGGGTAGAACCAGAGGCCGACAGTTTTTGTCTGCCACATCTGAGGCGAGAAGCCCCCTCTGGTTTCTTGCTGCAAAGGCAAGGGATCAGATGAGACCCCTCCGGGTCCAACTCAATTTGCTTCTCCGGAAAGAGCAGTTTCCGGCAGCGAGCGCAGGATCCTCCGGCTGCTGAACTAAACACCGGAGCATTGTCAATGTTTCCTATCACTGACTTTACAGAGGAGGAGAGAGGGCTGTGACTGCATTCCTGGGAAAGACTACTACTCCAGACGTTCCACACAGCAGTAGTGAAAACACATAAGAGGTTGTAAAAATCCCTTCCAAAATACCAGGTTTCTGAAGAAATGCTGCGAAGCATTAACGTATTGTTGGTGTTATTTGTAAGTCACCGATTCTTTCTCGCCACGGCCAATCCTCAAATCTCTGGTACTTGTTGCTAAATCTTTACCTCACGCCCCCCAGAATTGCCCAACACAAATGAGATCTGCGGAGCGAAAGGCGGGGGGGGGGGGGGAAGGGGGGGGGGAGCGAAAACCAGTGACCCAA